AAAATTGCCAAACAAGGTCACTTTTTCTAAAATTCTATCTCCTCACAACCCAACATTTTTTTCAGATTAATGATGCATCTTAAACAACTTGTGTGGCACCATACCATTCAAATCTGTAAAACTGTGACTGACTCCGGACACACTGAAACTTTCTGATCCAATGAAGTGTGAAATGAAAGAAGTGATGACGTCCGAAGCCTCGGCTTCATTTGCCCATCACTAAATTTATATCAAAGTGTGAATATAGCCTATTAAGACAGCCTTACTGCTCTTCCATGTATTTTCACATTATCTTCTGTAGGCATTTAGATCACATGTTGTACATGAGACCTGGTTTGAGTCACCGTTTATTGTGAATCTCTTTTAGCTATTATGGAATAACCACCACAAAGCCACTGAATACGAGAAATAAACAGGTAAGAACAGGTTTGAAACTTATGATCAGAATAGAAAAATAATGTTTTTCTTTATGTGCTATCAGATTACATGAGACTGTACAGAAAATAAACTAATGTTAAAGCACTAAATCATTGTTGAAGGACAGTATATATTATTGCACATAAAAAAAAAAAAGGATTTTTACATCAGTTTAGATTTTTTTCTAAGCTTAGTTTTCAATGTTTGATCCAAATGTATTATTTTAACACTGATTTAACCAAGTAGATACGTTTGCTTGTTGCAAAATCTATTTCAACACTTGCATCCAGTAAGTCACTTTTGCTTTAGAGTTAACCCTATTCAGGAACAAAGTTCACTTTACCTTCCTCAATAAGTGACAACAAACATCACTAAAAATGTTTTCATTTCATCTTGACTGTTTTAGATCCAACCTGTTGCTCACAGCAGAATAGTAGCTTCAGCTCGCTGGAGGAAAGTTATTGATGGAACTTGCACAATACAGTCAGTATTGATCTGAAACCGAATACTTAATCCAACAAAAATGAACAGTGCCCTCTGTCATAGTGGATTTATCTCTGTATTTTAATTTTCTGTATTTTACAACTTGTCTCGTAGTGTCTTTACAAATGGCAAGCTACTGGTTGCTCCAGCTCGGATTCGGATCCCAAAGCACACCCTGAAAAGCTGGGAAAACGTTTTAGCCATGGTGACGGAGAAAGTGGGTCTTCGCACTGGTGCAGTTTTCAGGTAATTTCAGTGGGACAGTTGGTACAGCTGCCACATCTCAATGAAAAGGCCGCCGGATCGAATCCCAGCTGGGGAGCCTTTCTGGGTGGAGTTTGCATGTTCTCTCCATGCATGCATGGGTTTTCCCCAGGTACTCCAGTTTCCTCCCACAGACCAAAAACATGCATATTAGGCTGATTGGTAACTCTAAATTGTCTTTAGGTGTGAGAGAGTGAATGATTGTCTTGTTTGCCTCTATGTCCCTGTGATGGACTGGAGACATGTCCATGGTGTCCCCCACCTCTCACTCAGTGACTCTGGATATGGGCACCAGTGACACCCATGACCCAAAAAGGAAGAAGCAGATAAAGATAATGGATGGATGTTAAAGGCACAGAAAAGCATAAATGAAATATGTATCAATTAAAGTATTTGTTTTTGTTGCTTTTATTTTTGCTTTTGGATGTGTTTTGATGATGAACCTTCAGTGTGTCATAATGTCAAGTGAACCATGTTTGTTAAGAGCATCAATTTCTGTTTTATGCAAGTGAGAAAAAAATGTGATTCATGACAACTTTAAAGTCAATTTATCTTAATGTAAATTTAGCTTGGAATGGAAAAAGAAAGGATTATTCTTATTACCGAGCATTTTAGCAATGGTAGGTTGGTATGGGTTGCATCATGAAGGACCCCACTCACCCAGCACACACACTTTTTGCCCCGCTCCCCTCAGGAAAGAGGTTGAGGAGCATTAAGTGTAGAACTACTATACTGAGGAACAGCTTCTACCCTGAGGCTGTTAGACTCATGAATCCATAACCAGGATAATCACTGTGAAAAATCACATCATGTAGCTGCTGATCTGTTTCATGTTGCTTCTGATCTGTTTCATGTTGCTGCTGATCTGTTTCATGTAGCTGCTGATCTGTTTCATGTAGCTGCTGATCTGTTTCATGCTGCTTCTGATCTGTTTCATGTAGCTGCTGATCTGTTTCATGCTGCTTCTGATCTGTTTCATGTAGCTGCTGATCTGTTTCATGTTGCTGCTGATCTGTTTCATGTTGCTGCTGATCGGTTTCATGTTGATGTGTTTATTCGTATTCATCTGCTCACACAGACACATGTTCGTGCTGCTGTTCGGTGTATTTTTTTATGCTATTAGTGCTTTTAGTTAACTTATTTTTAGTTCATATCTTAGACCTTATTACTGTTTTTCTTTTACACACATTTTAATGCTTTTGTTGGATGTAACTGGGACTCTGTGTACACAATTTCATGTACGTGTGGTGTGAACGACAAATAAAGAACCTTGAATATTTTTGAGTGGAATCTATCCACAATTGATAAAAACACTCCTGTGAAGTTGATTGTTTTTTTACTGTTCAGGCTGTGCAAATTAGATGGACAGCCTGTTTGTGGCTCCACCGAACTGGAGAACAACCAGCATTACGTTGCAGTTGGTGCCGAAAAGTTCAAACCTCTCCCATATGACCGATCAGTCCCCTGCAGGGATTTAATCAAAGAAAACACAGCTGAAAGGTAGGAGACATGCTGTCTTATGTCAGCAAAATGCATTGTCCCAATACATACTATATATGAAGAAACACTGGCTTATAAAATTATTGTGAAAAGAAAAATTTGTTCATGTATTTTTTTTATTTTTCCAGTGACCAAGACACAGCTGATAAAGAGAAAGACACGGTGAGTCATTTTGCCTTGGGTGTAGTTTACAATCAGGTTATTCCTTATCTCATAACACCTGGAATTGTTACATTTTCCCTCACGTTCCCTGGGGTTTATTGTTGTAACACTTTAGTAGAATCACAGCCTTTTGCACGCACAGCATTTCAATTAACATTTCCCACTTGTGTGAGACTTGTTGTGGGGGCGCAATTCGTTATGAGACAGCACCGTCATCAATCACTGTCTGCAAGAGGCATTGAGTTACCAGTGCCTTCCACTT